ACTCGTTTTGTGGACCAGGCTGACCTTGAACTCACAGAGATCTACCTGCCTCTGCCTCCCAAGTGCTAGGATTAAAGACATGTGCGACCACTACTCCAAAAGAACCTATTTTTTTTATATTAAAAAATTAAAGTACTGGGCAATAGTGGTGCATGCCTTTTTCAATCCTAGTACTTGGGAGGCAGAGGCAGAGGAATCTCTGAGTTCAAGGCCAGCCAAGTCTGGTCTACAGAATAAATTCCAGGACAGTCAGGGTTACACAGAGAAACTGTCTGGGGAGAAAAAAAAAATTAAACATGTCAGGTTGGTGCAGACCTTTATTCTCAGTGCTTCGGAGGTAGAGGCAGGCAGATCTGAGTCCGAGGATAGTCTGGTCTAATAGAGTGAGTTCCAGGCCAGCCAAGACTACATAGTGAGACTGTTTCAAAAAATAGAAGTTGAGGGGACTGGAGTGATGGCTGCTCTTCCTAAGAGCACCCAGGCCACAACCAACTGTAACTTAGTTCCCTGGCACCTGACATCTGGTCTCTGAGGGCTCCAGACACTGACATACTTGCAGGTAAAACACTCATACACATTTAAAGATTTATTTATTATGTATACAGTGTTCTGTCTGTTTGTGTGCTTGCTGGCCAGAAGAGGGCACCAGATCTCATTACAGATGGTTGTGAGCCACCATGTGGTTGCTGGGAATTGAACTCAGGACCTCTGGAAGGGCAGATCTTAACCTCTGAGCCATCTCTCCGCCCACCCACCTCATACACATTTAAAAGTAAAAAAGTCAACATAGGTCAAACCTGGAGCAGTGGCCCATACCTTTAATCTTAGTACACAGGAAACGGAAGCAACAGGATTATCACGTGTTCAAAGCCAGCCTTAGCTACAGGGCGAGATCAAAATTATAGAAAGCTGTGCATACAGTCAAGGAAACTGTACAGCCAACAGAGCAAGAAGTCTTTCCATCTACACACACATCTCATGATGAATTAATATCTAGGCTCTATGAGGTATTCCAAAAAATAGGCTAATTAAATGAATAGATGGTTCTCAAAGGAAGCTACACAAATGGCCAATAGATACTTGAAAAAGTGTTCACTTCCCTCATCCCTCAGGGAAATGCAAATGATAAGTGTTTTTAGGGCTGTAAGGTGGCTCTGCAGCTAAAGGTGCTTACTTAACCACCATGCGATGACCCCAGAGTTCCATTGTTGGGGAACATGGTGGAAGGAAGGAACGGACTCCTTCAAGTTATCCATATGACGGGGGCGTGCGTGTGTGTGTGTGTGTGTGTGTGTGTGTGTGTAAAATGTGAAGACAGAAATGGAATAGAATCAGGAAGAAAGGGTCTAAATGGGGAAGGAAATTAAATGTATATGAAAACAGAAGGGGGAGCAACTTGGAGAAGGGAGAGGAGGATGGAGAGGAGTGGGGTGAATCCGAGCAGCACAGCGGGGCTAGTTAATGGTTCAGAGAAGAACCCAGGTGTGGGTCCAAAGAACCCAGGCTAGGCAGCAGCCGACAACCAAATGTGACTACTCCATGGAATCTGACATCTTTTTGTGACTTCCACAGGCACCCATGTGTGTGGACACAAAAACATGAATTAAAAGAATAAAAAATAATGATATATATTTGAAAATGCCACAACTAAGTTTCTTTATATTCTAATATTAAAAAATGGTTTTAAGGAAATCCACAATTTGGTTAAAGTCCTCACGAGCCAGTCATTTGCCCCAAACCTGTCAGCTATCAAACTCCAGAACATGACTCTTTGCGGGTGTCAAAGGTTCAAAGCTTACAACCATCCTATCTGTGGACTGCTATGCAGTTTATTTTAAAAGATGTATGAGTGTTTGCCTGCATATATGGAAGTACAGCTTATGTACAGATTGTGCAATTCACTTTTGGTTTGTTTTCATTTTTCCAAGAAAGAATTTCTCTAACGCTGATTGTCACTTTGTAGACTGAACTGGCCTCGAACTCTGAGATCCACCTGTTTCTGCCTCCTAATCGCTAGGATTAAAGGTGTGCGTCACCACCGCCCAGCCTATGCAATTCTTAATTCAGATCTCTGCTGAGTTAGAGGTACATCTGCGTGTGTGATACATTCAGTGAGAAAAGCACATTCCAGAATACAATTACATTTTGGAAACAAGGGAATGCCATAATTTTATGTCATTGGTGGGGAGTGGGGTGAGGTGGCGGAGGGGACAGTCCAGAGGCAGGATGCTTACCAAGCTGTGAACAGTTCGCTCAGACAACAGTTGTCCCCTCTTGGTTCTATTAATGGCCACCTGTCCTTCACCCTGGAGGCTCTGACTCCAGGACCTGGCCCCTGAAATGTGGCATCTCCTGGCCACTGTTTGCTGGCTGGTGATGCAAGCTGCCTGGCGCTGTGAGAAGACATTCCCAGTTCCTGCCAGAGAAACTGTTTACCTCAGGCTATGTGGCAGACTCTACCTTCCACAGCATGGACCTGAGCATAGCAGAGACTGGGCTCAGTCATGTTACCCTAGAGTCTCGGACCTAGTGACTTCACTTTTCTGAGGATGTGAATGTACACTAGAACTTTTTTGTTTGTTTTTTTGTAGGCCCATATTTCTATATGGTGTGGCTGGCAGCCAGGCTCTGAAGCCATGGGCCCCACCTGAGGTGGTCACATAGCCCTGCAGACAGGCTGTCACTGCCCTAACAAAAGCCAGGATCCTGCAGATAGGCTGTCACTGCCCTAACAAAAGCTAGGAAGTACTGCTCTTTTCTCCTTTGTTAAAAATGTAGATCGCCTGGGGAGAGATGTTTGCGGAAGCTGATGACTAAGTTGCAGGTGTTTCCCTAGCTTAAAGAGAATATTAATGAGGTATCCAGCTTAGGTTACCTGGGGGGGATAAAAGATGTTTTGTATAATAAACGCGGGGAGATCTTCAGGATGGGAGAAGCCTGAGATGCCCTTCCGTGATGACTGTGTGAACTGTGTCTGGTTATTTCTCGCGCCTCTGTACCGGTCCAGATAGGGAAAGATAGTTTCTATGTTGGGGCCTACGGTCCCTGACCATTTTTGTTTTGTTTTGAGACAGGGTCTCACCATGTAGCCCCAGTTGGTCTGGAATTCTCTTTTAAGTAGACAGGCTGGGCTTGAATTCACCTGAATCCACTGCCTAAATGCCAGGATTAAAGGCATGTGCCCTAGAGTTTTGATGCACAGAACAACGGCCTGACACCCGAGTAAAGAGCCCTTGTGTCAAACGTTCAGGTGGTGACTGATACATTCATCAGCTTTCCACAGTTGTAACAGAGGCCTGAGATAGTCAGTATGGTTGGCCTGTCACTTTGGGGCCTGAAACAAGACAGCACATCGTAGTAGAAGCACATGGCAAAGCGAAACGGATCACTTCATAGCCAGAAAGCAAAAGACAAACGCCACTGAGCCATCTCTCCAGCCCCTAGGCCTTATCTCTTACTGTTTCCACCCCATCAGTAGTGCCTTCCCAGGGACGAAGGCTTTTAACATCCCACATCCAAAGCTACAGCACTTAGTTCAGGCTTTGCAGGTCATATGGTCTCCGCTATGACTGTACACTACTGTTCTTGCCCAAAAGCAACATAGACTGCACATACATGAGCAAACACGACTAGATTCCAATATCTATTTATTTGGGGACATGGACATTTGACTTCATAACTTTTCATACTCCTTACTTTCAATCCTATAAAAATATAAAAACTGCATGGTGGTGGTGGCAAACACCTTTAATTCAAGCACTTGGGAGGCAGAGGCAGGCGGATGAGTTCAAACCCAGACTAGTCTACAGAGAGAGTTCCAGGACAGCCAGGGCTGAACAGAGAAACCCTGTCTTGAAAAACCAAAATATACAGAAGGCAGCCTATATAAGCAGCCTTCCTCTCAGGTCTCATGCTAATGAGCTGGTTTGACCTGCGAGGGAGTCATGCTTTGCTGACCACTGATGTCTATGACATCATTGCCCTTAGCTTCTCCTTCCCACTTTTGTGGTACAGCTACTTGAGTTTGGTGGGAATCCTGATTATGCTTTACCATAATCAGTGCCATAGAATGCTGTCTTCCTCAGAACAGCAGTGACTATCTGCAAGAGACCCTCAAGACTGAGCCTGCTGACGTTCCCTATGGAAGAGGGTGGAGTCACCAGACCCTCCCTCACCTTTACTCCAATCACACTTTATTTTTTTAATTAAAAAAAATTTGCATCCAGGCGTGATGGTACATGCCTTTAATACCAGCACTCAGGAGACTGAGGTAAGTGGATCTCTGTGAGTTTGAGACCAGCCTGGTCTACAGAGCGAGTTCTAGGACAGCCAGGGTTGTTACACAGAGAAATCCTGCCTCGAAAAACTAGAATGAAAGAAAGAAAGAAAGAGAAAAAAAGGAAGAAAGAAAGAATTGCCAGGTGGTGGTGGTGCACACCTTTAATCCCATCACTCGGGAGGCAGATGCAGATGGACCTCTGTGAATTCAAGGTCAACCTGGTCTACATGAGTTTCAAGATAGTCAGGGCTGTTAACACAGAGAAACCCTGTCTTGAAATTTTTTTTGTGTGGATACAATGAACTATATTGATATGAGAGAGGCTAGGGCTGTCTAAACTCTATTTGTCAAGAGTCAAAGGCAGCCCTGGTGACCAGGTGAAGGTCTGGGATGGAATCTGAGGGGGAGGTAAGGCCCCCTCAGCAGCCAACGGCTTCTGTTTTCCACATCTCCCTGGGGTGTGCGTTTCGGGGCTTCTTATTCTTTGAAAGCTATATGAACAATGAAGCCCATCTGTTGTAGCCAAATTCATTCTCATACCAGGGAATGAGCTTGACAAAGTCGCCGTTGAGGGCAAAGCCAGTCCCGGTATTAAAAGTGAAAGAGGGTGTTAACGTCTCTGGAGACGACGTGGTCCTCAGTTTAGCTCAGAATGCTTGGTTCATCATCTTAGGAAGTTAGGGCCTGCCAGGCCTTTAAAAGGAGCCAGCCTGGAGTCTGCCTGGAGCTGTCAAAGGGCCTGCTTGTGCCTAGCCAATAAGGAGAGACCAAGCGGTGTTTCCTGAGTGCCTAGCAACAGGCGCTGTCAGAGGTCCTGATCGTGCCTAGCCAATGAGAGACGAGAATGAAATGTCAGCGGCCAATGGATCAGAATGCGTGGGTGCCGAGAGGGTATCTGGCCCCGGAACAGGGACTTCTAACAGGGTTTGAGCTTGCCTGGTCAGCCCTTTTTTCTTTTCTTTTTTCTTTTCTTTTCTTTCTTCTTTTTTTCTTTTTTTGGTTGCGGCTGTACTGTAATATTTGTGTTTTGCCCGGCACAGGTTCTAGTCATCTTCCTCTCCTCACTCGCGGTGCTGCACAGTGCTCCCAAAACGACGTATTTTCGGGGAAAGGCCCCTCGGTTCCTTTGGTGGGTAAGCGTAGGGACTCCCATCCTTTCCTTCCGTTGAAAGGCCCATCGGTCCCTTTGGCAAATAAGCATTGGGATCTCCAGTCTTTGCCCATCTAGTTAGGAAGGTTGTTTTTTGTTTGTTTTTTGTTTGTTTTGTTTTTGGTTTGCCAGGAGGGCTGACCAGGAGGCTCCCGAACGCTGTCCCCTCGTCCAGAGACACCGTGTGGGCACACGGCTGTGGCCTAAAGAACCACACAAGTTCCCCACTAATCACCAGACATAAGGCTCCAATACAGTTTCCCACCCCTGTTGACTGTTGATCGCCAGTTGCCCCTCTCAGAGGGTTGCTGACAGGCAGGGAGGAATGATCTGTCATCTGTGGGATGACAGGGAGAAGTGAACTGTGGGGCGGCCTGGGAGATGAGGGCCTGGAGGCCCTGCTGGCCGGGCCTGAGGTGTGAGCTGTCACTGGTATGAACTCCCTGCTTGATTGGGGTCTCAGGGTGCTGTCTGAGCCTCAGGAGTTGGTGACACTCCTAGGCTTCCCTAGCCTGATGTGCAACTAGGCCGCAGTGAAGGCTGTGGGCCCCTCTGGACCTCCGCTGGACTGTGCCTCTCATCTGAGCCGCCTGCTTCCTCCGGGGCTTCTGTCCTTCCAGGTGGTCCCTATAGGTCTGTGGCCCTGCGCAGCTGATCCCACCGACATCACAGTAAGGAAGGCCTGGAGGGCAGCCGGGGGCTGCCTTGGGCTTCTGCAGCCTGTCCAGGAATGTCAGCATTTCGCTGGTAAAGCGGGAGTCCCAGGGCCTGAGGTCTGTGCCACCCCCCAAGGGTCCGAGCCCACCAGAGCCGTCAGGAATGCCTGCAGCTTCTGTGGGTCTCGCTGGAAGTGGGAGCTTGGGACTGGCCCACAGAGCAAGGCGGCAGCTGGCTGTTCCGGTGTGTCACAGTCCTGATCCCCTTTCACTCTCGGCAGCTGATGGGTGGATGCAGCAGTGGCCACCGCTTCATGCTGCTCCTGTCAGTGTATGCCCTCAGCTACCTGGGGCTGATCTTCAGTTGGGTGCTGCTGGCGCTTGGGTTTCTCACCTGGTGCCGCAGCCCGTGCTGTGTGCCAACGCTGTTGGAGGACAAGGAGCAAACTGTGTGACTGAGGGTGCGCACCTGCAATCTGGCCACCTGGGTTCATTTTCCAGACACTGAAAGAGAAAAAATGGCTAAATAAGATGGGAAAGCACATGGGGCTCTTTATTTATCAATTTATAGAGAAGCTCTTTCGAGAAACCAAAGAACAAGCTGTGCGGGGAGCAAAAGTGAACGTGAGTGAGCAGCCCCTTAGAGTCAATGGTGTTAAGGTTTAGACTGAAAATGGAAACAGAAGACAAATTCCTCTGGGCTTTCAGACTAGTTTTGCAGGACATTGTAAGACTGATTTGGAGATCAAGCGATATTCTTGTGGTGCTGGTGTGAGAAGTATCCAGATTGATGGGACAATGTGGTGATCCTGGAGCCCTTTATCGGTGACATGTCTTTAGCTGGAGCATTGTCCATCTTCCTCCTTAGGAAGCCACCTTTGGGATTAACTGGACAGGACTGACGAATCTCCTGGACATCCCTGAACTGAATGGTTTATCAGATACTATCATTTTAGATTCAATATCAAACTAATTGACAATCATTTGCCAAAAACCAAGATCTTAGCAGGCCTCCCTACTAATAAAGATACCATTCCATACAGTCCCCTCCTCCACTCCCGTCCCTCACATCACACGGGCCTTGTCAGATTCCAGTAAAAACTCAGAGGACTAAGCACGGGCACCTGTCACATATTAGATCTCACTACCTAGACATCTTTCTCTCTCTGCTTCTCAGAAAAGGTGTAGTCCCAATTCAATTAAAAATCAAAGCTGGCTTTGGAGTATGGCTCTCTCCTTCTCTAAACCAAAGCATATTAGAAAAAAAAATTCAGAGTTTTTGTCTCATATCAGAAGAGCCACCTGGTGTGGGACAGAAGAAAACCAAAAATCTAGGGACTGTTGTTGTCAAAACTCTGTTATCACCCCAAAATTCTATTGTTCCCTTCTGACTCTGTAGTACCTTTCTTTGGCTAAGCAACTTAAGTATATATTGACAGACTGATAGGTAAAATAGATTGATAGAAAAATAGATATATAGATGAAAGAAGATGATAGAAAGATATGTAGATAAAAAATAGATCAATGGGGGCTGGAGGTATGACTCAGTGGTTAAGAGCACTGACTGTTCTTCCAGAGGACCTGGGTTCAATTCCCAGCACCCACATGGCAGCTCACAACTGGCTGAAGATCCAGTTGCAGATCTGACACATTCACACCAATGCACATAAAATAAAGTTAAATAAACCATAAAAATACTTTAAAAAATAGATCAATGGGGGGCTGGAGAGATGGCTCAGAGGTTAAGAGCATTGCCTACTCTTCCAAAGGTCCTGAGTTCAATTCCCAGCAACCACATGGTGGCTCACAGTCATCTGTAATGGGGTCTGGTGCCCTCTTCTGGCCTGCAGGCATACACACAGACAGAATATTGTATACATAATAAATAAATAAATATATATTTTAAAAAAAATAGATCAATGGATAGATACATAAACATATGATAGATGTTAGATAATAATAGATGTGACATATATACTCAATAAAATATTATTACATTTCAACATATGTACCCTATTTTTAATTATTTTAAGTGTACGTATGTCTATGTGTCTGCACGTGAGGTCCTGCTTATTCCTCTCAACAATTCAATGACTTTCTGGGCTCGTGGAAGATTTCCCATACCACTGGCATAGCCTACAACCCAGAGGGACAAGCCATTGTGGAGAGGACCAGCAGAGCTTCAGGAGCTGTTGGCCATGACAGTCTCACCAGACACTAGGAGAGAGCCTCATCTGGCCTGAACAGAGGTCCTTCTCCATATGAGCTTCCTCAGTTTTGATGACAAGGGACTCAGTCCAGCTTACAAGCACTGGGCATCCCTACCAAGGAACACATCGCTGCCGTTGGTGAGCTGGAGAGAGCTTATCTCCCTCCAAGGCAGCCTCCAACCTCCCTGCTAACCCATGGGAGAGGGTATGCTTGTGTTTTTCCTCAGACTGCCACAACGCTAATATGGATCTCGGTAAGAGATGGACATCTAGCCATGGATCAGCCTGCTTCCACCAAGGAGGGAATAACCCAGGATGGGTAATATATATACTCCCCTTTCTTGCTGTCACTGCCCCCCTAACAAATTGATTTATTAAGGGCAGAAGTTATGGTCTCTGACTTCTCTTTTTGGTTTTTCAAGACAGGGTTTCTCTGTAGCTTTGGAACCTTTCCTGGAAGTTGCATTTGTAGACCAGGCTGGCCTCAAACTCACAGAGATTCACCTGTCTCTGCCTCCCGATTGCTGGGATTAAAGGCATGTGCCACCACCATCCAACTTGACTCCTTATTTTAAAAAAAAAATGTTTGGCATAATATAAAAAGGCTGTTGGATCCCCCTGGATGCTCACATATGCATTAATTGACAAGGTGGTTTTGTTAACCCTTATTCTCCTTAAATGTCTCCTGCAGCAGATCCGACACCAGCAGACAGCAACTAAGGGGACTCTTCAGGGTTAATGGCTCTCAGGCATCCTTCCCACAGTCCTCTGCAGGAGGTCATTGTAGGGTCAGAGGGACAACTGGATCAGGAAACCAACCAATCACTGAGCGCCCTGACTCTGAACCCAGAGCCAGAGAAAGAAATATGCCCCGGTCCTAAGATTAGAGTCAAAGGCTAAAAAGGACCAGTGAAAGAAACACAGTTTGGCCATGAAGTCAGAGCCACCTCTGCCCTGCCCAACTGCCCAATTAAACCAATCAATCCCTGGGCAGGAAACCAACCAATCACTGAGTACCCTGACTCTGAACCCAGAGTCAGTGAAAGAAACACAACCTGTATTTGAGACCTGAACCAGGGAAAGAAACATCTTTATCCCTGAACCCAGGACCAAAGAAACATGCCCTGACTCTGAAACTAGTGTCAAAGAAACACACTTTGTCCCTAGAATCTGAGCCAGTGAAAGAAATATGCCCTAGTTCTAAGATTAGAACACAGTTTGGTCATAAAGTCAGAGCCATCTCTGCCCCTGAACAACTACACTGACCAATTCCTGAGCAGGAAAAGAACAACCAATCCCCCTCTCCCTGGGAAAACTCCACCCCTAAGAAGCTTTATATAAGCCTCGGGCCCCTTCAGTTAAAGGTGGTCATTAATCCCTCCCTGGCAGGGGCAGCTGCTCTCCTGGACTACTCCTTCCCAAATAAATCTTTCTCAAGAGTCTTGGATGATGACCTTCATTCGCTGATACAGACTAGAAGAACCTGGCTGGGACATCACTTAGTGGACTGAGCTGAAAAACCTTGCTGAGATGCTCCCTAGAGGGTCTCAGCAAGGCGGAGCAGAACAGAAGAACCTTGCTAGGATGCTCCTTAAGGGAAATTGAGCAAGGCCAGGCAGGAAAAAAGTAATTTTTTTGAGAAGCTGGAGGGGGTTGCTACAACAATCCTGGTGAACAGGTGTCCAGCAGAGCCCCATCCATTCACTTTGACCTTTACTGTTGTGTCTCAGGGTTAAGGTGAAACTGTATGAGAAGATCTGGAGCAGGGAGGAGCAGAGAGCCAACTCAAAAGGAAAAAGTCTGTGTCCATGTTTGCTTACACCATGGCTCATACATTCCCTCCTTGCACCACGTGGGCCCTGGGGATTAAACTCAGATTGCTAGGCTGCTAGTTGCCTACCTCTCATAATCAGCTCTATCTTGGGGGATAAAAAACTGTTCCTCTGCTCTGAACACACTGAGAATAAAGCTGGGGGTGGGGTGGGTACTAGGGAGCCTGAGGTAGGAAGATTCTAAGTTCAAGGCCAACCTGGACTGCAGGAGTGTGGGCCACAAGGCTCAGTCACATGGCTTAGAAGAAACTCCTACTGGGAAAGTGAGCGAGCACAGGAAGGGAGTTATGTAACAGGGCTCATGTGGGAACTACTGGCTGTTGTAGAAATATTTGTTAAAGGGGACAGTTAGGACTGGCAGAAGAGATCCTAAGATGTATGAGGTGACGGTGGCTCAGCCCCGCGTGGTGTACGAGATTCTGACACTAGAAAGGCAATAGTACTTAAAAAAAAAAAAAGTTGGTGAAAAACTAGCCAACAAGATCAATAAAACACAAGGCAGTTCATGCTCTTGAGGACCAGGACAAAGGAAAACACTCATACCACGCCAGCACAGTCTGGAACCACGAGTCTCGGCGGAGGGTGTCCAGGTTGAATGAAATCCACAGAGAACGAGGTTGAGGTGAAACAGCAGCTTGTTTATTGTTCTGCTGGGGCTAGCTTTTATACCATGGCACCAAATGGGGAGGGGGCTGCGAAGGGACTGTCACCTGACCCAAGGAGGGACTCTCACCTGACCCCAGTAGGGGTCAAGGACTGATCATGTGCACTCAACCTTCACCTGTCCCAAGTAGGGATTGTCACCTGACCCCAGCAGGGCTCAAGGAATAATCTCGTGCACTCAAACTTCCTTATCCAATTCCAGGAGCAGAGGGAAGTTATGATTCTTTGCAGATAAGCACCTCAAATGGGGGCAGGGAAATATAACTTGGGGTAGCAATTACCACACACTCATTACTTGCTGGTGTGAGTGCAAACTTGTACAGTCACCATGGAAATCAGCGAGACAGCACCTCAGGAACCTGGGACTGATGCAGCTGAAGCCCCAGCTGTACCACTCTTGGGCACACACTAAGGATGCTACATCCTCCTACAGGGGCATGCGCTCATACATGCTCATTCACACACTAAGGATGCTACATCCTCCTACAGGGGCATGCGCTCATACATGTTCATTCAGAATAGAATTCAAAACAGCCTGACAAAGAAGCAAAAAATATCAAATGGAAAAAAAAATCATATTTAACAAGTGGTGTTGGTATAACTGGATATCAACATGTAGAAGAATGAAAATTGATCCATATCTATCACCATGCACAAAACTCAAGTCCAAATGAATTAAAGACCTCAATATAAAGCCAGCCACACTGAACTTATAGAAGAGAAAGTGGAAAGTATACTTGAACGCATTGGCACAGGGAACCACTTCCTAAATATAACCCCAATAGCACAGACACTGAGAGAAACTATTAATAAATGGGACCTCCTGAAACTGAAAAGCTTCTGTAAAGCAAAGGACGTGGTCAACAAGACAAAACGACAGCCTACAGAATGGGAAAAGATCTTCACTAACCCCACATCAGACAGAGGTCTGATCTCCAAAATATACAAAGAACTCAAGAAATTAGACACAAAAAGAACACATAATCTAATAAAAAAAATAGAGTACAGACCTAAACAGAGAACTCTCAACAGAGGAATCTAAAATAGCTGAAAGACACTTAAGGAAATGCTCAACATCCTTAGTCATCAGAGAAATGCAAATCAAAACAACTCTGAGATTCCATCTTACACCTGTAAGAATGGCCAAGATCAAAAACACTGATGACAACTTATGCTGGAGATGTTGTGGGGAAAAGGGAACACTTCTGCATTGCTGGTGGGAATGGAAGCTGGTACAACCCCTTTGGATGTCAGTGTGGTGATTTCTCAGAAAATTAGGAAACAACCTTCCTCAAGACCCAGTAATACCACTTTTGGGTATATATCCAAAGGATGCTCAATTGTGCCACAAGGACATGTGCTCAACTATGTTCATAGCAGCTTTGTTTGTCATAGTCAGAACCTGAAGACAACCTAAATGCCCCTCGGTCGAAGAATGGGTAAGAAAAATGTGGTACATTTACACAATGGAGTACTACACAGCAGAAAAAAGTAACGACAGCTTGAATTTTGCAGGAAAATGGATGGAGCTAGAAAACATTATTTTGAGTGGGGTAACCCAGACACAGAAAGACAATTATCACATGTACTCACTCATAGGTGGTTTTTAAACACGAAGCAAAGAAAGCCAGCCTACAAACCACAATCCCAGAGAATTTAGACAACAATGAGGACACTAAGAGAGACTTACATAGATCTAATCTACATGGGAAGTAGAAAGTAGAAAAAGACAAGATCTCCTGAGTAAATTGGGAGCATGGAGACCTTGGGGGAAGATTGAAGGGGCAGGGAGAGGCAGAGAGGGAAGCAGAGAAAAATGTAGAGCTCAATAACAATAAAAAATGAATAAAAATAAAAGAGAGAGCTGGGTGGTGGTGGCACAAGCCTTTAATCCCAGCACTCGGGAGGCAGAGGCAGGTGGATCTTTGTGAGTTTGAGACCAGCCTGGTCTATAAGAGCTAGTTTCAGGACAGGCTCCAAAGCTACAGCGAAACCCTGTCTCAAAAAACCAAAGTGGGGGGGGGGAAGAGAAAGAAAGAACCAAAAGAGCGAGGGGGGAGTGGGAGACTACTCTGGGAGTCAGAATGTTTCATAGCAACCATGAGAACCTGAGTTCAGATTCCCCAGCTAACACTTGAAAAGTTGTGTGTTACCACTGTACCTGGGATCCCAATGCTGAGATCCCAAGGGTTCTCGGGCTAACCAGTCTGGCTAATTGGTGAGCTCCAGGTTCAGAGAGAAATCCTGTTTCAAAGAAACAGACAAACAAAAACGGTGGACAACAATAGATGAAGACAGCCAATGTCACAGAGAGAGAGAGAGAGACAGACAGACAGACAGACAGACAGACAGACAGAGAGACAGAGAAGAAAAGAGAGCTGGAGAGATGGCTCAGTGGTTAAAATCACTGGATGCTCTTCCAGAAGAACTGGGTTCAATTCCCAGCACTCACATGGCAGTTCACAACTGTCCATAACTAGATATACATGTGGGCAAAACACCAGTGTACATAAATAAAAATAAATACATAAAAAAAACACATGGAGGCCAGGCGATGGTGGCACATGCCTTTAATCCCAGCACTTTGGAGGCAAAGGCAGGTGGAGCTCTGTGAGTTTGAGGACAGCCTGGTCTACAGAATAAGTTCCAGGACAGTTAGGGCTACTCAGAAACCCTGTCTCAAAAAACCAAATAAATAAACAACCACAACCATATGAAAAGCTTACCGTAGAAGCTTCCTAAAATATATACATATATGAAAGAAATCTAAATGGTGTCTCCAAAGAATAGGGAAGACTATGTCTCAATTGGACATCTTATGCCACATAGGAAAACCTCCAGCGGCAGGGATGGGTTACATCTTGTCAAGTGGTTGGCCAAAGGGATCCCATGGAGCCCTCTAAAGATCAAAGCCTGTCGCCAAGGCTACAAACAGTGCCTACAATAGTGACCTGCGTGCAAGATATACTAGTGCAATAGTGGCACAAATGGAAGTAACCAGCCACTTTTTAAAACTGGATCTAAGGCCCACTCCATGAGATGGAACCCATACCTGACATCGCTAAGTGGCCAGGGACCTGGCTAGGTAGGTCACGGCCTAGGTGAGCAGCTAGCACTTACTCTGCTGCTGCTGCTACTCTACTAAAGGAGCATTATGATAAAAAGACTTTTAATGACATACTGCTATAGCTATAGATCAGGGCCTTGCCTAGCCCATATCAGAGAATCTTCTTGCAGTGTATGGGAACTAACACCGAGACCATGTGCAGAGAGTGAGAGACTTTGAAGCACCCAGTCCTAAATGGGAGTCCTCATCAAATGCTCCCCTCAAGGATCAGGAATCCATGTGGCAGAAGAGGCAGAAAGATTGCGAGAGCCACAGGTGATGGTCGGCTCTAGGGAAACAGTGTGTTCTAAGTACAACAGCCCAGTGGGACCGATGCACATCAGAACTCAGCGGCTGTGACAGCATGCACAGGAACTGCACAGGTTCAAGCCAGACATGCCCCGATGGGGAGTGACAGAAAGCTCCACCTTTAATAAAGCTCTCTGCAATGGATACCTGCTGGCAAAGGCAAATCAGTTTTCTTTAACTGAGTCCCATTGGGTATATCAATCACATTCAAATGCAGGCCCTATGCCCAGGAACAGGGGCTGGTACAACACCAACCCAGGGTATTTTTACGACTTTTTCTTTTGTTTTCCCTTAGGCTTCTTCTTCTTCTTCTTCTCCTTCTTCTTCTTCTTCTTCTTCTTCTTCTTCTTCTTCCTCTTCCTCTTCCTCCTCCTCCTCTTTTGTCTTAGTCTTTTGCTTGATTTTGATGTTCACTTTTGTAGCTTTTTTGGTGTGTGTTTCTTGCTTTACTTTTCTTTCATTTTTATTTATTTATTTTTATTTTATGCATATGGGTGTTTTGTCTGCATGTATGTCTGTGTAAGGGTGTTAGATCTTGAGGTTACAGTTGTGAGCTGCCATGTGGGTGCTGGGAATTAAATCTAGGTCCAGCAGTCAGGGCTTTAAACTGCTGAGCCAACTCTCCAGCTTCTTTGCCTTTTATTTCCATGTCTTTTTTTTTTTTAAACTTGGTTCTTTAAAACAGGGTTCCTCTGTGCAGCCCTGACTGTCCTGAAACTCACGCTGTAGATCAGGCTGGCCTCGAACTCACAGAGACAAGCTCTTGCCTCACCATCACCTGGCTAGTTTTAGTTTTTAAAGGAGAGCACAATATTGGGTAGGTGGGTAGGGAGGTGGGAAGGATCTGGGAGGGGTTGGGGGAGGAAAACATGATTTTAAAAAATTATATGAAATTTTTCAATAAAAATCTTTTAAAAATCTATTAGAGAAACACACAAAGAGATAAATAGCCAAAATGTATACTTACTGTCACACCAAATGTCATCTTGTTATTTGAATTGAAATTTGAATTAAAACCCATTTTGGTGGTGGCAAGACATACTTTTGGCATGTTTTAGGATTTCTTGGATTATGCTTAAAAAAAAACTCAAAAGACTTGCTGGGTGGTGGTGGCACGTGCAAGAACAGAATAAGGACAGTCAGGGTAGAGGGGACTGCAAAGGTCAATGTCGGTGCTGGCAAACAGGGAAAGCAACAATTCTGCAGTGGCTATCAGCAATGATTGTAAAAACTTCACAAAGGTTTCTGTTCCAAAAACAGGAATGGTCACACCTATTATAAACCAAGGGGAATATTAATAATTTGTTTTGTTAGATCCAAGGGACCCAGAGCTTTGGTTGTATTTTGCAACTGACAACTTTTCTGCCAACAGTTTGCCCTTGGAAAAAAATCTTCTTCACCCATTACAGAAAGTACAACGCCCGGCGAGATGTGACTCCTGCCTGAATCTTGGTCTCGAGGTTGGAAATCCTCTTCCTTCTCGTTTATTTTAGCCCCAGTGTCTTCTCGCTATCTCTTCCCCAGCCCCGCGTCCCAACGCTTTTTGTTTATATCACCCCTCTTGGCCCCTGAGATTTAGCAAAGCCACTCTGCCTGCAAGGTGGCTTTGATGCTTTTGATGGTTCTCCGAGTCTTCCCATCAGAGGCCTTTCCCGACCCAGGCTTCTCAATTACAGTACTTTACTTCCCGCACAGTGCTTATCAATATTTTTGATTTTTTCATCTGTTGAATGTTTTCATTTATGACAAAATCACGTATTATCCTCTAATGAGACAAAGCTCTACCCAGAGGAGACAGGAGGCCGGAGAGTGGCAAACCTACACAGACCTTGCAGCAACTCCGTCCATAGTGAGACGCTCTGGGTGTCAACGATCAGGTCCCAGGGTCTCAAGAACAGAACCAATCACTCTTGTTCCGCTGAGAATTCTGGCTTTAAAGTATTCGCATCCCAAGAACCTCCAGAAATCCTAGAACGATCCCGGGTAGGGTGTGATTGCTAGGCAGTAATTGTGGACGTAGAGCCTGGCTCCGCCCCGCGGGACCACGGGGCGCAGCTGTCACCTCCCAGCCGCTACCCGACTGGCTTTCACGTGGGCTCTGCAGTTCAACAACAGCTCCTCGTCCGGAACTTCCTGGGGCGGCGACCAATCGCAGAGTGCTTCCTGTCGGTGCCCCGATCAGCCGGCTGCCAATCGGCGCGCCTCCGCCCCCGCCCCTTAAAGGCGCCGCCGCCGCCGCTGAGGCTGGCGAGCTACTCGAGGTTCCGGCCCCCACCCTCAGCATGGAGGCCGCCCGGGGACGGCTCGGGCCGGAACCGGACCTTTCGGCCGTCGCCGACCGTCAGGCAGCGAATTTCAGCAGCCAGCCGGTCCGAACGCCTTCGAAGCCGCCCTCAATCTTGAGGGCGTCCGGGGAGGAAGAGGCTGAGAACGTTGGGGTCGCGAGCCGTCACCCACGAGCGTCCCCGAAGACGTCGAGCGGCAGCATAGTCCACCGGCCGGAGCTGGGCGCTTGGGAGGAACAGCCGGGCATCAGGGCGACGCCGTCAGGGGCCGGGGGCCGCCTGGGACCGGCAGGTTCTGAGCTCGCCCCGCCCCCGTCCACCTGGCACCAGGACCCCGAACCCGGCGAGAACCAGCCTTCCGCCCCGAGGGTCTGCCGTCGAGGGAGCCCCGGAGGCGTCGAGATGAATGTGAAGCCACCGCAGCGAGAAGATGCAGACCATGACGAAGAGGAGGCGGCGGCGGGTAGGGCTGGCCGCTCCTTCTCCAGCCGCCTTCAGGACAGCCGCAGCCTGGACGGGCTGAGTGGGGCGTGCGGCGGTGGGGGATCCTCGGCGACTGGCGAAGCTGGCGCGGGCGGGGGACGTCGCGCCACCATCTCCAGCCCCCTAGAGCTCGAGGGCACGGTGAGCCGCCACGGCGACCTTACCCACTTTGTCGCCAACAACCTACAACTCAAGATCCGTCTGAGTGGCGCCCCCCCGCCCCTTCCCCCTGCCTCTGGGCGACCCAGCCTGACCCCCGCACCCACTCCCACTATTCCTCCCATCGACCCCGACGTGCTGAGGGATCTGGAGAGGCTGAGTCGCGAGCTGGGCGGCCGGGTGGACCGTCTGCTCCGCGGGCTGGGTGGTGCGGTGCAGGAGCTGACAGCATTGAGCGTGGGCTGTATCCAGACCTACCGTGACGCCGTGGATTCCTTAGGCGAAGCCGTGGACATGAGCATCAAGGGCATGTACACATTACTTGCACGCTGCGAGGAGCTGGAACGAGCTCTGCAACCGGTTCAGGGGCTGGCACGCCAAGTCCGAGATATCCGACGTACTCTGGAGGTGTTGGAGGCCCTATGCAAGTGACCAGGAGCACAGAGGAGAGGCCATGCCTAACCTGGCCAGGCCAGGGTCCAGTCGGACCCTAAGGATTCTTCGAGGAGCCCTGGTGGAAACTGCCGGCTGAGGGGAGGCCTGTGCGTTAGAGGTTCTTCCACAAGCGTTTAGGTGGCCTGTGCCCATTCTCGGCGTAAGGAGTGTGAATGGAATGGGGAAGTCGGAAAGATTTTCCTGCTGGAAGGGGATGTAGCTCTGCTTCTATTCAGTTGGCCAACAGTCTGCCCTGTTCTTCCTGACTCTTCTCCTCCCTAGCTAGAACGCCATCCTTGGGAACGCCATCCTTGGGAACGCAGGCCTTTAGATCTCTGCTGGTGGGGTGGGGCAGACCACCACGCGTGCCGAGAAGAGAACGGAAGGAGCCACTGTTTGCTGTGGCTGTCGTGATCCCAGTGATCAGACCCCAAGTGCCAGGAGCTTTAGGAGCTTGAGTGGTCCTCGGCAGGCGTCGTGCAGGCAAGGGCGCACATCTGCTAATGCATAACCTCCTGCTTCTTCCCTCTGGTCCCCTAAAATGCCACAGGGTGGAGCAAGCAGGTGCACATTTCCTGGTGGAGAGGGTGAGGTGGGAGGTGTCTCACCGCTCTGGGATAAGTTTAGAATTGTTGCTGGTTTTGAAGCCCACCTGTTGTGGAGAGTTTTGTGAAATTAAAGTGCCGCTGCTGCTAAGGCTGAGCCTGTTTCTGTGTGGGGTCGAAGGGGTTGACAAGCCAAAGGAATAGGAGTGAAGGTCGGGGTGGTTCCTGGAGCTCCCTGGGGGAGTGGGGGGTTGGGAGTGGGAACTGGGAGTGTGGGGGAGGAAGTCTCAGGCTAGCAGGAGAAGGATCTAAGACCTGCCTCAGATCTGAAGGTGATAATTACACAGAGGGTCCACAGATTCACTACAAGCAGAAGCCAGCAAGGGTCTTTAGAGGAGGTGAAGGGCTTTTCTGCTCCCGATGGACAGGCAGACAGGCAGATTGGTTATCTTGGTAATGAGGAAATATAAACTCCTGGCAGCTCTGTCCCTGACCTCAGTGCAGATTAGTCATGTATAATGATTTGAGACAGTTGTGTCCCAATCACAAAGACTGTCTTCTTACAGTTTACACAGTACATTCAGGAACTACATACATATTATGATCATAGAATCTCCAAGATAACAAAAGTAATGATTCCCGCATCCCAAGACGCTCCCACAATTCGGACATAATCCAGTACATTTGTTTAGTTCAAATTGTTTCAGGATTAGAAATACTGCTTTATGAAGTGTTCTTAGATGTCTCCCTTTTAGAAATATAATTAAAACAAGTAAGACCACCTGGGAATACAACTAAAACGAGGAATAAAAAAGACTGAGAGAATTCCATACTTTCATCTAAAATCACAGAGAAAAAAAGACCATATTGTTAAAAGGAGTAAAATTAAAACGATTCTGTACTTCCATCTAATAATTGCAAAAGCAAAGAATATCATAAATTCAAAATGAGTCCTGGCCCGTACGGGGATCGAACCCGCGACCTTGGCGTTATTAGCACCACGCTCTAACCAACTGAGCTAACCGGCCAGCTACAACAAACTTGCCTTTTTAAAGGCATGTAAAAGGAATAGCTGTTCCCAGGCTAGCCAAGAAAATCTGGTCTAAAGATATATTGGAGGACGGAAAATGCGTATATCCAAACTAGCAGTGAGTAGTTACAAATTTAGCAATCAACTTACAATTTTGACAGGCACGAATGATGCGATTTTGACACTTGATTGCCGGTCAGGGCGTAAATGTGATCTGGACGGAGGTTCTGGAACCCACTCCCAAATACAAAATCACCGGAACGCCAGAGGTAGAGCAGTGAGTAGACGACAGTAGAGGGACTCACGGTCTCAGGTCTCACGATGTGTTAGAACTTTTCTAGTTTTCGTAAAAGGGAATAACAAAGGCACCGCTGGGATTCGAACCCAGGATCTCCTGTTTACTAGACAGGCGCTTTAACCAACTAAGCCACGGCGCCTACCCGAAGAGATAACCTCTTCACTACTTGGCCAGGTCACTCTTAGGGCAGATGAGCAACCAGGAAATAACTCTCACTGCTGCTAGAAAAGGTAGGTGAAAGGACTGGAAGTCAGGGAGGTGATGGTGTGAAAACCGAGTGACTCCGAATTTGTCAGGACGGCAATTTGTCTCTAGATTACAAAACTGAATGTAGACCTCAGAAGCTACACCGACGACGAGGATGGGATTCGAACCCACGCGTGCAGAGCACAATGGATTAGCAGTCCATCGCCTTAACCACTCGGCCACCTCGTCCACACGACCTGTACTTGCGTTGGCTTCTCTGAGACCTGAACCCTCCCTCACTCCTGCCCGAGGCCGCACCTGTCTGCGTTTCCAGGATTCTTGTCCTAACTGCCGCGCGCACTCGCAGAGCAGTGATGGAGCGAAAACCGAAGACTCCAACTCGGGCTGGCTGGCCTCTAGTCCCGCTCTGCCCAGAATTGCTGGATTATCCGCAAAATTACTCCCTAGAAATAGATCACTGAGATAGTCTGACTGCGTCAAGATTTGGTTCCCGAGCTTCTCCTTTTTGTTCTTTAAGAGATGTTTCTTTTTTGATCACTGGGACAAAAATAAAGGAAACTGGAAAAAAGGGAAAAGTATGAATGACCCCGACGTGATTTGAACACGCAACCTTCTGATCTGGAGTCAGACGCGCTACCGTTGCGCCACGAGGCCGGCCGGCCACAGCCGTGCACGGGTCACCTCATGGCACTATAGCAATGATTTTTTTTTTTTCTTCTCTCTCTCTCTCTCCTCTCTCTCCCTCTCTCTCTCTCTCTCTCTCTCTCTCTCTCTCTCTCTCTCTCTCTCTCTCCTCTCTCCTTCTCTCTCTCTTTCTTTTTCTTTTTTTTAAAAATGCTCCTAGAAACCCAAAATGTGGCTGGAGCTTCTCCCCTCGGAGGAAACCGCACCATCTGATCTCGGCAAGCAGTTTCATCCCTCAGACTCCATGACTTCCCGCCCCTGTCTGTTCCCGGAGTCCCGTGAAGGTCAGCTGAAAGGAGATCAATGAACGGTGCTTCCCCGCACCCCAAAGGCAAGCCGCGACCTGGTGTTCCACTGTCACACACTAAGGCCTGCTCTTAACTGGATGCAGAAGGGCAGCGACTTCTTGGCCTTCCCTCTCCATTTTCATCAGGGGTCTGTCTTCTCTCCTTAGGCTGCGGCGTTCCCTAGCTCCAACTCTCATCTGTACACTCTGGGCTCCTGAATCTTGCTCACAGACCCTGGTGCTGGCGCCAGCGGGCACCTCCCCTTGACTAACCATTCCTTCTTTCCCAGGTCTTTTGCATGGCCATGACAGGCCATGAAAGGGGAGACTCTTGACTCTTCCCTCTCCCTCACATTCGGTTTCCAGTCCCCAAATCCCGTCTGTTCCAATCCCTCAGGAATTCTGCCAATGCCCATGTCCATTCTCTCGGCCTCCCCGGCTGGCTTGCTATATAGCAAGCTCCTCTCTCATCTGGGCTCCGGAAGGTCCTCCATCGGTCACTGGCTTAAAATCAAAGACTCTTTGAAGTCGGATCCAGTCTTAGCTCCTTGGATTTACAGAGTCAAGAAGTTGAGTTCTTAACGCCTGTGGGCTCTTTATAAACAATTCATATATAGGCTACTTGGTACACTTACGTAATCTTTTTTGGATGACTTGTTTTCTATGATAGCGTTTCTCTCTGTAACCCTGGCTGTTCTGGAACTTGCTCTATAGACCAGGCTGGTCTCGAACTCATAGAGATATCTTCCTGACTCTGCCAACGGTTTAGTAATCTTATCTTTTTAAGATTTGCAATCTTATCTATTTTTTAAGATTTATTTTTATTATTTTAATTATGTGTATGTAGGAGTACGTGCACATAAATGCAAGTGTCTGCAGAGTACAGAGGTGTGAGATCCCCCGCAGCTGGGGTTACAGGCTGTTGTAAACCACCTGATGTGGGTCCTGGGAACTGAACTCCCAGGTCCTCAGGAAGAGCAGTATGTGCTCCTAATCCTTGAGCTATCTCATTGGCCCCTACTCACTTTTGCTTGTTTCTTTGTTCGTTTTAAAGACGGTTCACTTAGTTGTCCAAGCTGACCTTGAACTTGAATTTTGGTTTCAGCCTTCCTGGTGCTAGAATGACAGGAATACAGGGTTAAAACTAACTTTTAAAGTTCTGGTCATTTTTGTTTTTTGAAACAGGATACTATATACTATATATTACTTTATAGTTCTGACTGGCCTTGAATTTTCAGCAATCTCTGCGTCAGCCTCCCAATTACTGGGAATACAAGTATGTGCCACCAGCTTATTTACGGTCCTTTCTTTTCTCCCTCCCTCGCTCGCTCCTTCCTCCTCTTCCTGCCCCTCCTGTTCTAGGAATGAACCCAGTGAACTCTTACAAGCTAGGCTACTGAGTTATATGCCTAGCACCTACTGAATCATTTTCAAATGTCTAAACTCATCACAACCCCAAATGTCTGTGAACCACGGCCTATGGTATTGCTCGAAGGGCTTTCAAAGTCCCCGTCTGCCTGCTTGCCCCTCACATTGCATTCAGGACTCAGTTCAGGGCAGACTTCCTCCCCATGTGGAGTGCCTTTCCTCCATCTCCCCCGCAAGGGCACCTAAAATACTCATTGTGCTGTTTTGAGTCATACTCTGTGGCTGAAGGGCCTAGCACGCTTGACAATCTTCCTGCCTCGGGCTCCCAAGTGCTGGGACTGTGGCCTTTTATTTTCCAACAAGATCTTGCTAAATTCCCCAGGCTGACCTTGACTTTGTATGGTAGCCTAAGCAGGCCTTGCACTCAATTGCAATTCTTCTGCTCCCCACCCCCATGCTGGGATTACAGGTCTGTGCCATCAGGCCCTGAGAGAAATATTCTATTTCAGTTGTCTGAGACCAGTCTGGATAATATGGAGGTCCTCTGGTAAAGAAAGGCAAGAAGAGAGAAGCAGAGAGAGACAGCTGGGTAGAGTTGCTCACACCCGCACTCTAGTCCTGGAGAATGGGTGGCATCATCGGAGTTCATGGCTAAGGACTTGTCTCAGAATATAGACAGATGAGACAATAAGATAAAATCACTTCTTAGAAGACAATACACCTTTTTTCCTTATAATGGAAACAATATGATCATCAAAAGTATGACTCCATAAAATGTGATCATTGAGAGGTTTTTGTTGTTTTTTTCTGAGACAGGGTTTCTCTGTGTAGCCCTGGCTGTCCTGGAACTTGCTCTGTAGACCAGGGTGTCCTCAAACTCAGAAATTCCCCTGCCTCTGCCTCCCAAGTGCTGGGATTAAAGGCGTGCACCACCAGCTTTGAAGGTTCCTCTATGGCCCTTGACTTGCCTGGAACTCATTATGGAGACCAGGCTGGCCTCCAGCGCATGGAAATCCCTGCATCTGCCTCCTGAGTACTGGGATTAAAAACATGGGCCAAGCACTGTTTCTTCTAAAACAAGAACAGTTTATCAGTAAAGACTAAATGATATGCCAGCTGGTGGTAGTGGTGGATGCCTTTAATCCTGGAACGGATCTCTGTGGGTTTGAGACCAGCCTGGTCTACAAGAGCTAGTTCCAGGACAGGCTCCAAAGCTACAGAGAAAAACAAAACAAACAAACAAAAAGGAACGACCTTTTATTCTCTACTAAAATGAAAGTGGTGAAGGTGTGGCAAGCCTTGAAGTACCTGCATTAGAGGAGGGTGAGAGGCAGAAGAATCTCAGTCTCAAGAACAACCTGGGCTACTTAGTGAGACACTATCTGGCGGGCCCACACTGCTGTCAAGATTTGCTCAAGGCCATCTTTGGCTGCAAGCTTGAGGCCAGTTTGTTTTTGATGGAGCAGTAAGCCAGAAACTAATAAAATGGTTTATGTGTGATAAAACGGGGACACAGAGATCTCTAGATGACTCTCCTTTGTAGAGTTTTGCTTTGGAATCATGTGTTTAATATAATCATAAAATGAAATTGAAAAGTTAAGATGGCGGCCTGGGCACCTGCACTTGGTGCAGTCCACGGTGCCAGTTTGCAGGCAGTTCGGTGATGTGTTAGCAGCTCAAGCCTGACCCCTGTTGGCACTCCCTCTGGAAAGGCCAGCTCTGCCCCACCATGGGGGTGGTCCTTGGCATCTTGGGTCCCTTGAGCCTGAAGGAAGTGGAAGAGTTACAGTAGCCCCTACTGTGGGTCACTGATATTGGAGCAGAAGCGGACAGGCTGGCCAAAGCATGAAGGCAACCTAGGTTAAAACATCCATAAGCATTGTACAGTGGGGTCTTGATCCTTGATGCAGGTAGGCTCCGTGATCCCTTGGTCCTGATAAATCTGGATGTTCCCAGAAGGCAGACTCTCAAACCCAGACGGAAGCATTCTTTTCTAATGATCAGCACAAAGGGCTAGTCACCAGCAGTAGGGCCCCTCTTTCTGGGTGGGTCGGCACAGGCCTTCAGGGTGACGCCTGACTGCTCTAGGATAGGCGGCCAAAGTGAGTCCATTCCTAAGCAACTGCTCTGGAGACCAGCCGAGTAAGTCTAGGGTGAAGCCGATGCCCGGCACGTGTTGCCAACAAGCTACCAGCACGTGTTGACTAGAAGGCCTGTGCCCAAACTCCAGAGCAGCTGTCTGAGCAGGAAGCCCAGTCTCCTAGGCCCAGTCGGAAGTGAGACAGCTGAAGCACACACATCACCCACAGTACCTCCTAAGGCCGCAGAGTGGCACTAAAACTCAGAAACAGCTTTTCTAGGGCCGGCTTCTGAGAACCAAGGTCGTGGAAACCACAGGACAGACCTACCAAGCTCACTCAGTGCCATTACCGTATAACATCAAGTGTGAGTACCTAGTTTCTGCCATCTAGTAGCCCCTTAGGCTGGAAGCACTACAGGCAGAAAACCCCAAACTTCCAGATGCTCGGACCCCAGATTACACAGCCAGACCCAGATCTTTTTCCTCTAAGTATCTCTCATGCCACAGATCCCAGAACTTTGGAGGCTGAGACAGGAAAACTGCCGCGAATACAAGGCCAGCCTAGAGTACTCAGTGAACTTCAGGCTAGCTAGGACTACAGAGTAAAACCCTAGCTTTAAAAAAGAAAAATAAAAGTATCTCTTGATTCCCTCCAATTCACCTGCTCTATTCCATCTGATTTAAGTCACGAACTATCCCTTCTAGATGTTTTTCATATCTTTCCCATTCATCTTCTACTTAAACTCTATTTTCTATGTTGCAACCAGAGTCTAGAATGCAAGTCTGATAATGTCTCGCTCCATGACTGCAGAAGCTGAGAGAATTTTGCGTTTGCCTATGGCTCCAACATCACTCTGATCCTCTCTTCCCCTCTTCTCTCCCCCCGCTTCTGTAGGCTTCAGAATCCTTGGTTTCCTTTCTGTCTGGTAAACACGCCCTTGCTCCTCCCTCCACCTGGAATGCTGTTTCCCAGATCTCCACAGGGCTGACTCCTTGCCCTCAGATCTTGGGAAATCTTCAAAAGCGTGCCCTAGTTTTATCCTGGCTCTTCGTCCTATGTGATACAGTCTCTTTAGCCTGGGTCCCTGGGAGCTAGAGTTACAAGCTGTGAGCTGCACAGTACAGGTTTAGGAACTGAATTTAGCTACAGTGCCATGTGCTTTTTGTTTGTTTCTTTGTTTTCTGGACTGGGTTTCTCTGTGTTAACAGCCCGGGCTGTCCTGGAAGTTGCTTTCTAGACCAGGCTGGCTTTGAACTCACAGAGATCCTGCCTCTGCCTCCCAGGTGCTGGGAATAAAGGTGTGTGCCATGTCTTCTTAACTACTGAGCCATCTCTCTAATTTTTGCTGTTGTTGTTTGGGTTGTTTTGTTTTTATTGAGACAGGATCTGACATTGGCCAGCTTGACCTAGAACTCACTACATAACCTTGAATTTCTGACCCGTCCCCACCTCCAAAATTCTGGGGTTATAAGTGTTTGCCCCTACCTAGTTTAAGATTCAGGTTTATATGAAAAAGTTGTTAGTTTTACTATATAGGACCTCGAGGGGAGCTTGGTAGTGAAGCCCTTGCTTGGTATGGTCCAGACACTGAATTTGACCCTCAGTGCAGCACACACACAGAAGTCTAAATCTGTAAGGAGCTGAATAAATAGGGACCTTCAATGCTATAAATTATCCCTTTTGATTTAGAGTGCCGTTCTAGGCATTAATGATGATACTGTAAGATTCAGAAGGGAGGGTGGGAATATACCTCAGTAGAGAGTGCTTACCTATATGAAAGTGGTATGGAATTTATCGCCAATGCTGAAAAAAAAAATCAGGAAATCACACTTTTACACCACTATTATCCAAGTTACAAACCCTACACAAATTTCGTCCAGCATTCCACCACAGTCTTTTATAGTAAAAGTGTATGGAGGGGAGGCTTTTACTTGGTTTGGGATCTCATGTGTGAAGGATCCTTTTACCTGGTTTGGGATCCCCTGTACTGTCAGCTCTGTCCCCTTCATTCAGAACTCCTCAGTCTGTCTTTCACGACCTTTAACTAAAATATTTTGACTTTGAAACTCACTGGCTTAGGAAAAGGAAGCCCATGTATTACTCTAGGAAGACAAATATATTTCTTCTAGGTTTTGATCAGTTTCTTAAAACAAAAATTTAGGAATTATCTGTTTTCAAATTCTCCTTTGGTATTATTTGCGTTACCCTTTTTATTTATAGTACCGTTCAGGACTTTTTATTATTAGTTTTTAAATGTTTGCTACCGATCTCCCTCCCTAGAATATAAAACTGGAGGGAGAAACTTTAGTTTATATATCAACATACTCTCAGAGCCAAGCACAGTGCCTGGCATTTGGGAGCCGTCTAGAAAGATTTGTTGAGTGAATTAAGTCAGAAATACCTCTGAGCCTTGTCTTTTCGACTCGTTTGAAGGCACAAGGAAAGGAATGGAGAGAAGAGAACTGCCAATTGGCTGGGAGGTCCGTTATCCATGGAATTGATTGTGCAGAAAGGTGGTGAGGACGTTTCAATCAGCAGGGATTTCATTGGAAGCCCCAGACCGGGGGGGGGAGGGTCCTTGGTCTGTAACTGAGCGATGTCGGGGGGCCTGACATCTCAGAGAGTGAAAGGGATGCAGATCCAGCATCCCAGACTGGGTTAAGCCTCCCAAAGGACTCAACGCTATTCCAATTCATCCCTTCACTCCTCACCGTTTCTGATCCAACCCCCTCGGTTCCCGAAGCACTCACCTCACCCACATCCTATTCTAACCGTCCCAATGCTGCGCATTTCTGCGCTCGGCAAATCTCTCATTAAACTGAGACACGCTTTCTGGGGGAGAAATAAGTCATTCTTTGGGGGGGCGGGTTTTATCGGGGGGGGGTCCTCTGACAACCAGGGGTTCGGTGACATGACGGCGACTGCCGGACTAGCTCCGCACACCCTCCTCTCCCCTCGTGCCCAGAGGAGAAGGGAGGATATGGCGGTTCCCGGTGCGCCCCCCGGGGGGTCCACTCAACCGCTCACCGCCTCGCCAGCCAGGAGACCCGACCTCCCGACTTCTGCCCAGGGCGCTTCGTTATCGCGAGACTTCCGGAAACAGCTGCGTGACGCCTGAGGACGCAGTTACCATGGCAACTGGGCGGCGCCTGAGCGCGCGGGAACGAGGCTTAAACAGAGAGGTCTGGCCTTCTTGGTGCGGGAGACTTGAGGCGTGACCCATCTCAGACTTCCACGACCTCCGCTCTGGGTCCCCGAGGCCATGGGTCGGATCTCCGGGCTCGTGCCCTCTCGGTTCCTGACGCTCTTGGCTCATCTGGTGGTTGTCATCACTTTATTCTGGTCCCGGGTAAGACACAGACGGGACGCGCGCGTGCCCTGTCGTTCTCATCTTGGAGTGGACCCAGCTCAGCTCAGCCCATTCCTTCCCAAGGCCTTACCCAGTCCGTTGCTCCCGGTCCCTGGGCCCTCCCCCACCTGTCCCCGCAACCCCGTCCCTCTTTTGACTTTTCTTCCTTTCTGCTCGGCTTACCAGGAAAGCAACATCCAGGCTTGCCTGCCTCTCAAGTTCACCCCCGAGGAATATGAGAAGCAGGACGTCCAGTGAGCTCTTGGGACGGGATGAGAATGCAGGGGTCTTCGAAGACGTTCAGAAACTCTGATCCAGCCCCTTCCCTTTCTGCAGATTGGTGGTAGCTCTCTGTCTCACCTTGGGCTTCTTTGCGGTGGAGCTGGCCGGCTTCCTCTCAGGAGTTTCCATGTTCAATAGCACCCAGAGCCTCCTCTGTATCCTTTCTGCCTGCCCAGCGCCCCACTCTTTCCACCCCTTTAGACCTTTTGGGCAGAAGTCTCTGCTCAGGGGGCAAACTGAATCTCTCTAGGTGAGAGGTCTTAGACAGTATGGGGAATTAATTACTAGTCTTCAAACATTTCTTCAACCCTGTCATAAGTTCGGTTCTGGCAATCCCCAGATAGGAGTAAAGCCATTTTCTCCCATTCGAGGGGGAGGGAGATACACATCTGTAAATCAGTGTGATAAGCACTATGCTGCAGTGTGTGTAAAATACAAAGCAATACGAGAAGTCAGAAGGAACTAAGACAATGAAGCACAAAAGAAGCTTCTTGATGGCAGAATGTGGTGCCACAGGCCTTTCATCCCAGCACTAGGAAGGCAGGAACAGGCTGATCTCTGAGTTCGAGGTCAGTGTGGTCTACAGAATGAATGCCAGGACAGTCAGAGTTACACAGAGAAACCTTGTTTCAAAAAAGAAAAGAAAGAAGGAGAAGGGAGGGGAGAGGAGGAAAGAGAAGAAGGGGAGGAAAGGGAAGAGAAGGAGGGATGGAGGGAACGAAAGAAAGAAGGAGGATGAGGAGAAGAGAAGAAGGCAATGGTTGTGGCTCTTGACTCTGAACTGTGGACAAGGAGGACCAGGCACTGGAGAGATTCCAGCAGTTTATCAGGCCTGTAGGTATTCTTGTGTGGCCTAGGGTGTATGTAGCATTAACCTCTCCCAGAAGTGTGCAGGGGCAGGGTTGCCCTAGATATGTAGAAGGGGGTCCCCCCATTTATTTTTTTTTTTTTGATGTTTTGAGACAAGGTTTCCTTGCATAGCCTTGGTTGTTCTAGAACTAGCTTTGTAGTCTAGGTTGGCCTTGAACTCAGAGATCCACCTGCCTCAGCCTCCCTAGTGCTGGGGATTAAAGCTGTGTACCACCACCTCTAGTCTGAGCTCTGGTCTCTTAAGCATGATTGTCCTCAAATTCAGAATGCATGACTGCCCACTCTGACACTTGCTTTATGGGAAGGGAATAAGAGATGAACCCAGGTCCAGATGGGGCCCGTCACTCTGTTACTTTCCTTGACTTTGCTGTGTTTTTAAGCCATTGCAGCCCACTGTAGCGCATCTGTGGCCCTATCTTTCTTCATATTCGAGCGATGGGAATGTACCACATACTGGTACATTTTTGCCTTCTTCAGGTGCCGTAGTACCCAATATTCTAGAACAGGGGTGGGGGTGGAAAGTCTAGCCCAAATCTGAAGGTTTTCCCCTCGTAGATGGTTCGTGCACCTGTGAAATTAATAGTGTTTTGAAGTGTCATACACATCCCCAAACTCAGTCTCGTATAGTGTTTGGAGGTTTGGGTGTTTGTGTTGGAAGGGGCCCTGAACCCACGCCCTACTTTTCACAGCGCCATCCCAGCTCTCACGGAAACGGCTTTATTCATCGCTGTCTTTGGGCTGAAAAAGAAACCTTTCTGATCACGACCTGGACGTAGGAACCAAGGCTGGAAAAGTGATGAGCTTTCTCTCGGTGGTGGAAGAAGAAACACAGGCTTCTGTTTTTTCTCTCCCTACTCTTATGCCCCGCCCACTGCTTCTAAGCAGAGGATGGCAGTGTTGGGATAAGATCTCTCAAAACTTGGCTTATAATTTTATTAGAGCCTTGTAATAAAATACATTTTTTAGTAAGAGCTAGGCTGATACTATTTTTCAGAAGACAACTGGGTGGGCCAAGGAGCCAGTGTAAATAAAGACTTTATTCCTAGCGTTACTGTACGTAAGCTAGTAGGTGATCCTTCTATTTGGATTTTTACGGTACAAGATAGACGGAAGTAAGTGGGCGGAGATATGTAAATAAGTATCGCACACAGAGCTTCTAGTTTGCCGTGTGCGTGCGGAGCATTCTGGGAGGATTTTATATCTCCCTTTTGGGCGCCGAATGGAAAATAATTTATATATAGCCACTTCCAAATAGGAATTACTCTACGGTTGCAAGAACCCTGGATCACTGGGTTTGTGCTAAAACTGTCACATTCTCACCCTTGCTTTAACCGGGAATATCTTTAGCTAATGAACAATGGGACCCTTCGTCCTGTATCGTCAGGAGGTTAATCCTTACCTGTTCCTCCTTTTGGAGGGCAGATAGAAAATGATGAGTGGAGCTTGCATGATTTGCTGATTAGCATCTCCGTGTAGCCAGGACCTGACAACATCCTGGTTGCTCCTATCTGATTCTCTGACGATCACACTTACTTTTCATGTGCTAATTGGCAGAACATTCTAAGTAGGTCTTTAGATCCGTTACTTACTTTGTCACTGCTTATAAGCTTTGCTAAGTTTCTTTTTGTTAGTTGTCTTATATCTTAATTTGATTGCTCAGATTTCTTGTCTGTTACAAAAAGTGCCATTCTTCCCCCCAAGGTGGAGTCCTGGCTGGAGGCTCTTGGACACCTACCTCGAGTCCTGGAACAGCACTTAGGCTCGTGCTTACTAACAGCCTTAGCCCTATGACCTTTAGCATCCCTTCATCTCACTTTGGTCCAATGACCTAACCATAGGCAAAGCACTCTTAACTGGAAAAAAGAGATTGTGATACATGATACAAAAACCAAAACCACAACTATTTAGGAGTTATAATTCCTAAAGTTATGACTTGAGAGCCACCAAAATATTACATGTCAGTTATTGCTTGAGTACAACTCTCAGAGAAGTCCACACCCTTGCATGTGTCTTACTGAACGTGGAAAAAATAGCTTTTTCAGGAGCTTTACTGACAGGTTGCCAAATATAACTATTATTTAAAATTAAACAGTGTGAACTTGCAATTAAGTAGGTGTATACTTACTGTGTTTGAGGTTCTGGGCAAGATCCTAAGCATCAAAAACTTAAAAGTAGCCAGAATGGTGATGCTTGCCCACAGTTCCAGCACTCAGCATGCGGAGGTCAGCCTAGTCTGCAGAGTGTGAGTGATTCCAGCCAGGCAGGGATACAGAGTGAGACCTTGCTGAAGTTGGTCCAGCTGTGGAGGTTCCCTGCTGAGTTCCTCCAGCATCAAAGTTATGAAGAGGGTGGTGGTTCTGCAGCTCAGGATGGAGACTAATCTCAGCCTGAGAAGGTTCCCTAGGCAGCTGTAGGTTTGAAACAGTTTTGTCTGCCGACTGCTGAACACTTTTCTGCTGATTGGATTGTCAAGGATAGATCCCTTTGGACCCCCCAGAAAAATGCTTCTTTTTGTAGTCAAATCTTTCAAAAGTTTCTTAAAGCACTTTTTTGTTTGTTTTGTTTTTGTTTTTGTTTTTGTTTTCTTTTTGAGACAGATTTCTCAGTAGCTATGGACCCAGTCCTGGAATTCACTCTGTAGACCAGTATGACCTCAAACACTCAGAGATCCTCCTGCCTCTGCCTCCTGAGTGTTGGGATTAAAGGCATGCGCCACCACCACCCGACTTCTCAAAGCACTTTTATGAAGCAGTGGATTTAAGGAAACTATATATGAAGCCTGTACAAAGCTTCCTTGTAACACGTGTGCTATGAAACACAGTCTCCTGTTTGTCAGCCCTCATGTCTACCTCTCTGAGTTTTGATGGATTTGTTTCACAACGTTGTAACTATTTTATATATGCCAGCTGTAGTGTTTCATAGGCACTTGCTTCCGCAGCATGTGTACTAAAACTGGAAAGGCAGAAGATTAACATGACCCCTGTGCAAGGATGACACACACATTCCTGAAGCATTCCATACTTTTTGGTGAGGTTTTCCTGTAATTTCAAGAGACTACATATGGGGTGGGAGGGGTCAAAAACTTGCACAATTTAAAAATATCACAATTAAACATGAGCTTGTTTCAAAAACATTTTTAAATAAAAATTAAAGAGTTAGTAGAAGCCTGGCATGGTGATAGACATCTTGGTCCTCGCACCCTCGGTCCTTTCTCAAAAGGAAAGAAAGGAAGGAAGGAAGGAAGAAAGAGAAAAGGCAGAGTAAGAGGTAACATTAGTGCAGATTAGTCCTAAAAGTGGTGGTGGCACATGCCTCGGGAGGCAGAGACAGGCAGATCTCTATGAATTCAAAGGCCAGTCTGGTCTAAGGAGTGAGTTCCAGACCAGGCTTCAGAGCTACACAGATAAACCCTATTTAGTAAAAAAACAAAACAAAACAAAAAACCAAAACAACAAAAGAGTGTTAGAATTGTTACATTGTCCCCAGCCCACTAAATAAGTGTTGGTGAGCACTGTCTCTTTGCTAACTCCTCCTTCTCTCCTTCCTTCTCCTTTGTGTCCAGTTTAAGATTAAACTCAGGACTTCATAG